TGGCACGCTTATCCGCTAGCTTTAATTAATTGTCCGACGGTACGAGATGCTTGTAGCCTTTAGGCATAGAGAGAGTTAGACATAGATGTGTCAATTCGGATAACTGGATGAAGTTTAGGTTAATTCATGACGGGTTGGGTTTGTTTGGATCGGGTATATTCGATTCAAAATTACCCTGTTAATCCACATCGGGTTGGATTGGGTCACTTTCAAGTCGGATCAAATTCAAGTCAAGATATGTAGGGTTCATATCGGGTTTGGGTCGGGTCAACTTCAGATCGGTTCATATTCGGTTCGAATAATTCAAATCGGTTTGGGTTTGACTAGGTTAATTTTGGGTCGGATGACTTTGGATCGTGTTGGTTCCGGTTTGGTTGATTTTGGTTATGTTAAGTTTGGTTTGATTACTTAGGTTGATTCAATATACGGTCAATTCTAATTCAGATACTTTTCGTGTTTGCTGAATTTTGGTTGGATTGACCAAATTTAATATTAAAAAATAAGTACATTTTTAAAACTGGAGTAATGATAGGTTTTTTTTTATCTTGTTATTGGACCGATATCAAGTCAATCATGTGTCATCTTTTCATATCGTGTCATTAATATATGTTTAAGTAAAAAAAAAGGTAAATAATAGGTTGAGTTTAAAATTATGGTTGGTTTGAAATCATGTCAATTCAAAATTAGGTCGGGTTAATATCAGTTTGGATGAAAACCCGATCGGATTCAATCGGATATATTTCGGGTCAATTTCAATTCGGATTGTGTTCAAGTCGGGTCAAACCGGTTCGGTTTGAGTTCAAATCGAGTCAAATCAATTTTTGGGTTGAATTCTAGTCAGGTCAAATCGGTGTCGAGTTAAGTTCAAGACAGGTCAAATCGGTGCCAGATTGTTCAAATCGGGTCAAATTCAGATTTGGATTGAGTTTAGTTTGGTTACAGATCGAGTTTGAGTCTTGAATTTCTCATATCAAATCAGATTGATTACAATTCGAAACGGATAGTTATTTTCAAGTCGGTTCGATTTTGCCACCTCTAGTTAAACACGGCGAAATAGTAGAGTAAGACCATACCATAGTAGAGTAAAACCATACCATAGTTTTCCGTTCTAATTTGCTTCATAACCTCCATCCAAACCGCTTTACCTCGTCAATTAATTACTACCACTCCAATGGCGCCACCCTTATCTTCAAATACATCAATAACACAATAACATATTGTTTCAATGCCATAAATTGAATCCATACCCAAAACCCTAACCCTCAAATTGCTTATATTATACCGTTTCCTCTTCATGTTCCGTGAATTGCAAATTCCTGGATTTCTTATAAATATATGCCCTTTGATACCATTCTTTGCCATGGTTAAGGGAAATTTGCATAGGTGTTGCATTGTCCCCGAGTTTGGGAATGCCTATAAGATGTTTGATGAAATGCCTGAAAGAAAGATTGCTTCTTGAAATGCTCTGATGTTCTGGTCTGCATGATAGGAGACTTCTTGATGTAACTTTGAAGAGGGGATCATTAAGTTTGCATTGCAGCGATTGAGCAAGGAACACGAACAGGTGATGGAACTTGCACTGCAGCAAATGAGCAGGGAACACAAACGGGTGATGGAGTTTGCATTGCAGCAAAAGAGCAGGGAACACGGACGGGTTTTATATGGAGTTTGCATTGCAGCAAATGAGAGGTAAGTACTCTTCCTTCCTACTCATGTTTAGCGCCTTTATAGGATCATGATACCTCATTTTGTCGAATTCTGTACTTGATCACCACATGATTTTGACTGAAACATGCTGATACAGAAATCACATTAGGTGTTAAATTGGGTGTTAGAAGACACAGAACAAACTGAAAGATGCTGGATTAAAATAAGACATCACTTTGCAGGTTTTGATATGAAGTAAATTATATTAACAGAAAAATTCATCATCAATTGATTCGTGAGTTGGCTAGTTTGCTGACAAGAGACAATGTAAAACAACCCCAAGGAATACCATGTTCTCTCACACAGTCTCATTTATTTTTTTGATTCCTTCTGTCTTCTACTACTTTGGTATAAATAGAGCCAAAAGAATGTGAGATTCAACAAATCAAAACTTCTATCTTACAACTCTTAAGTCTTTTAACAAACTTTAAAACAATATCAAAATGGCTTCTATCCATACTCGATCTTTCAGTTTCCCCTCAAACTCTCACCCCGTTTCTGAGCAGTTGGATCAACAATTGAACAGATTGAGATCATCTCAAGCTGCTTCTACTTCATCCCTTACCAGCAAACTTAGCGGCCTTAATGATTTATACAAATCTGTTGAAGATTTTCTTCAATTGCCCAAAAATCAGAAAACCGTATCTCAATCTCAACAAGTATTAGATGGATCTCTAAGACTCATTGACATTTGCTCAACATCTCGATATGTCTTGGCAGTGTCAAAGGAACAAATCCAAAACATTCAATCAGCTCTTCGAAGAAAGTGCAATGGTGAACTTGACATTATCAGTGAAGTCGCTGAATATCTAAAAACCAGAAGAGCTTCCAAGAAGACTATCAAGAAGTGCGTAAAAGATATCAATGCAGTTGAGCCCGTTGCCATTGAGAGCATGCTCAAGGATGTGCAAGCGTTGACTGCTGAAGTCTTGAACTCCTTGTTGTCTTACATCGGTGGATCACAGAAGAGTAGCTGGTCTTTCTTTAGCCAAAGATCTGAGAAGAAAGCAGCGACATCCTTTGATGTTGTTGATGCTCTTCTTGTGAAGAAAGTGAATGTTGATATGTCACAACTAGTAAATTTAGAGTCAGAAATTCAAGAAATCGACGAAGTTTTGGAATCCTTATTTAGGCATTTGGTGAAGACCAGATCAACTCTTCTCAATGTCCTTAGTAACTAGAATAGAAATTTATCCCTGTACAAAATTTTTTTGACACGTGAACATACTATATAAATGAATATACTATACATACAATTTTCTCTAATTTTTATAAATGTCCTTCAAGTTTACACTTTCTATCATTCTTTCAATCGTACCAAAGTTACTAGCACAAATTGCATGATTTGCTCAAGTTAATAGATACGGTAAAGTTAAAAGAGATTATGATAAAATGAAGGTTGATTGTCACAATAATGACTCCATGTGAAGATACGCATTGAATTGGCTCATGAGTGCATAGCTAATTAGCTGTTAATATTCCATATGTCTGCTGGAGAGCTTCTGAATGGACTGTAGAAAGGGCAAGCGTGAATGCATGAAATAGCATGGTCTCCTACAGTCAGGCACTCTCCTTTATTCTAGGATCATGCACACAAGTTCTTACATTTTTAAAGGGAGGAAGGAGGTCAGATTCCTATATATTCTTAAAATTTTACTCAATCTATTAAAAAAAATATATGCCAATTGCAAACCATTAATTGATATATTAGCTACCCTGCTGATAAGGTGTCATTTACCCTCGTGCATAGCTGTTCCTTAGGATCATGATGGACATACAGGGATCATGATATGACATTGTATGTTACATCATTATATAATATCCTAATTAAATGATCTGAGCATCGTTCGTTTGATAATTAGCTGGCACTTGAATTTGGATCATATGAAAAAAAATTAGTACTGATACTATTTCAAGAACTTGAGAATTCATTTCCAAAAACTTGATGCCTTTATCTGGGTATTGTTAATATAGGTGGTGGAAGACTTTGCTTCATTATTTTCAACAAATTGAAATGAGTATATTAAAAAGCTAACAATACATCATGTGAAATTTAGTATCTGAAGTTATGGGATGATTTTTTTGCTGTACAAGAAATCATAAGGGTATGTTTGGGTAGAAATTGACCAGGATAAGCCCAATGTAATACTAGTATAAAGAAATGCTTTGATTTGTTAGTTGATGTTTCAGTAAATAATAATAAATTGCATTGCAATAGAAAATGATCTCCTCCAATAATTAAATTGCAAATCTACAATATAGCTTTATTTGTACCTTCAAGTTTTAAGTGTGACAAATTTCATAAAGTATTATAATAATCCCATATAAATATTTAAATCATAGAAGGTAAAGAAGGAAGGAAATTTTTTAAATTGAGGGTCATTTGCTCATTTCATATATATTTATTTGTTGCATTGCCCCTGAGATTGGGAAAGCCATAAAGCCTAAAGGTGTTTGATGAAATGCCTAAGAGATATATTGCTTCTTGAAATGCTTTTATCTTCGGATTATCAAGTTCTATACTTCTACGTGCTATATAATTTGACAGGTATATCAAGGGTTCAAGTTCATAGGCTTATATATAGTAGTGTATAATGCACTAATTGATATGTATGACAATTAATGGTTAATTCATCGGTACAGCGTATGATATGCTTGGCAATATGGACGGGTTACTGACTTGTGGAATTTGCGTTGCAGCGATTGAGCATGGAAAACGAACAGGTGATGGAGTTTGTTGCTTGCATAGCAGCAATTGAGCGTGGAACACGGACGTGTTATGGAGTTTTCATTGCACCAAATGAACAAGGAACACAGAGGAATTATGGAGTTTGCATTGCAGCAAGAGAGATAAGTACTCCTCATTCCCACTCGTGTATACCGCATCTATAGGATCATGATACCTACATTATGTCGCTGATAATAAATTGGCTGTTTAATTTTGAATTAAAAGACATAGGAAACAACTAAATTACATCATTTTGCAGTTTTTGTACTGGTTGTTGTATAAATAATATCCTTTGTATACATTTCTTTAATGGTTATGAATATATAATATTAACAGAAAATTTCATGATCAATCGATTTGTGAGCTGGCTAGTTTGCTTTGAAGAGACAATGTGAAACAAGCCCAAGAGAGACCATGTTCTCTCTGTGAGTCTCATTTAATTTTTGATCCCTTTGTCTTCTGCTACTTTGGTATAAATAGAGGCAGAATATTGAGATATTCAACAAATCAAAACTTCTATCTTATAACTTTAAGCCTCTTAACAAACTAAAAAAGAATATCAAAAATGGCTTCTTACCACACTCGATCTTTCAGTTTCCCCTCAAACTCTCACCCCGTTTCTGAGCAGTTGGATCAACAATTAAACAGATTGAGATCTTCTCAAGCTGCTTCTACTTCATCCTTGACCACCAAACTTAGTGGTCTAAATGATTTATACAAATGTGTTGAAGAGTTTCTTCAACTACCCCAAAATCAGAAAACCGTATCTCAATCTCAACAGGTATTAGATGGATCTCTAAGACTCATTGACATTTGCTCAACATCTCGAGATGTCTTGGCAGTGTCAAAGGAACAAATCCAAAACATTCAATCAGTTCTTCGAAGAAGATGCAGCGGTGAACTTGACATTACCAATGAAGTCACTGAATATCTAAAAACCAGAAGAGCTTCCAAGAAGACAATCAAGAAGTGCTTGAAAGATATCAATGCAGTTGAGCCTGTTGCCATTGAGGGCATGCTCAAGGATGTGCAAGCGTTGACTGCTGAAGTCTTTAACTCCTTGTTGTCTTACATCGGTGGATCACAGAAGAGTAGCTGGTCTTTCTTTAGCCAAAGATCTGAGAAGAAAGCAGCAACATCCTTTGATGCTATTGATGCTCTTCTTGTGAAGAAAGTGAATGTTGATATGTCACAACTATTAAATTTAGAGTCAGAAATTCAAGAAATTGACGAAGTTTTGGAATCATTGTTTAGGCATTTGGTGAAGACCAGATCAACTCTTCTCAATGTCCTTAGCAACTAGAATAGAAATTTATCTCTGTACAAAAATTTTTGATACGTGAATATACATACAAATGAATATACTATACATACAATTATCTCTAATTATATCTGTGTCTATTCTTCAAGTTCATACATTTTTTTTTAATTGAGATTCAAGTTCATTCAATCAATCACCAAACTTACTGTTCTTAAAAGTTGAAGCTCTAATTAAGGAGTAAAAAAACAATTGACAAAAAAAATGCATAATTTACTCAAGTTATTAGATAAAAAATTCTAATAAATTAATGGATAATTCTGTCCTTGATACGAAATTATAAGATATACATAATTTTAAAAAAAAATAAAAAAAAAAAAGACTATTGATTTTCATCTAAAAAGATTTAATTACGTAGTATATGAATTTGATCATTTAATGACTCCATGTGAAGATACACGTTGAATCATCTCATAATAACTTCGTAGCTAATTTAGCTGTTAATATTCCATTTGTCTGCAGGAGCTCTTGATTTATTTGATTTAATGGGCGTGCATAATATTACATGGTCTCCTACAATCAGGCAGTTGCCTTCAATTTTGGATCTTATACACAATTTCTTAGTTTTTTTTTATTTGGTTTACGTTCCTTTTCTTACAATACCAACTACTTCAATGTATTTTAAAATCATTCAAGATAAGAATCATTAATAATATGGTCATTTACACTCGTGTGCAGCTGTTGCTTAGTCTTATGATGAACATACAGGGTGTAGCGTGTGACATCGAATGTTGGACCGATATATATAAATTAAGCTCACCACATGAACGTATTCAGTGAAATATGGGAGATATAATACATTAGCTGTTAAGTTGGGAGTTCGAAAACACAGAAGAAATATTTGACAGATGATATTTTAAACTAAGACATCTTGCAGATACTGTATTGGTTGTTGGTATAACAGAAAATCCTTCCAATCTTCTTTCTTAATGTGTAATATTAACGAAGTATTAATTATGATCATCGATCGATTCATTAGTTGGCGGAGACATCGTGAAACAAGCCCAATGAAGAGCATCTTATCATTCAGTCTCATTTATTTTAAGATTCCATTTGTCTTCTTTACATAATAGTATGTAAAGAGGCAAAGAAGGCTGAACAATTCACAAATCAAATTAAAACTTCTATCATTTCTTTGCCTTTGAACAAACTAAAAGAAAAATACTCTAAAATGGCATCTCACCACACCCGATCTTTCAGTTTCCCCTCAAACTCTCATCCAGTTTCCGATCAGTTGGAACAACAATTAAACAGATTGAGTTCATCTCAAGCTGCTTCTACTTCATCCTTGACCAGCAAACTTAGCGGCCTTAATGATTTATACAAGTGTGTTGAAGAGTTTCTTCAACTTCCCCAAAATCAAAAGACTGTATCTCAATCTTCAGTACAACAAGTGTTAGATGGATCTCTAAGACTCCTTGACATTTGTTCCACATCTCGAGATGTCTTGGCACTATCTAAGGATAGGATCCAAGATATACAATCAGCTCTTCGAAGGAGGAGTAGTGGTGAACTTGACATTACCAATGAAGTCGTTGAATACCTAAAAACCCGTAAAACATCTAAGAAGACTATCAAGAAGTCCTTGAAAAACATCAAGGATGCAGAGCAAACTACCAAGGATAACGCAGTTGAGAGCAAGTTGACAGATGTTAACACAATAACCCTTGATATCTTTAAGTCCGTGTTGTCCTTCATTGGCGGATCACAAAAAAGTAGCTGGTCTTTCTCAAAGAAGAATGCAGCAGCATCCATCAGCGAATTTGATGCCGTGGATGCTACTCTAGAAAAAAAGAAAGTAAATGTTGATATGTCACAATTGGTCAACTTAGAGTCACAAATTCAAGAAATTGATGAAGTCCTTGAATGCTTGTTTAGGCATCTAGTTAAAACCAGAGCAACTCTTCTAAATGTTCTTAGTAACTAGAACATAATTTGTTCTTGTACAAAAATTTTGATCTGTAAATGATAGTTCTATACATATGAATATACTCCGATCCGTACAGTTACTTCTACATTTGTGTTCTTCAAGCTCATAACTTTATTTATTTATTGATTTCTGATAACTTAAGGTTCATTATTTCATATATTCCATAGGAAATCTTAAATAAGAAGAAGAAGATAACAAAAACTGAAGGGTTAAAAATTCTGATGGTATGAGATGCATTATTTACTGCTTAAGTAAAACTCTGTTATCTAATATGAAATCACAGGGAATATTTTTTTTCTCCCTTAAGAAATATTAATAAAATAAAACTGATGAAATGGAACAGTGTATACATTTTATTTTATTTCCAATTAAGAACAATATGGTTGAATAATACTGGTAGAAGGTGATTGTCGGAACTATTCCATGTGGAGGTATACATTGAATCGCCTCGTGTATTCATATATAATTTAGCTGTATTGATTCCTATGGTCTGCAAGAGCTTCAGAAAACTTGGTAGTTAGGGCGTGCATAATATTACATGGTCTCCTACATTTTGGATCTTGTACATTACTCTTAGAAGGCTTGAGGTTCCTTCCCTTCTAATCTCTTTAAATATGTTTTGTTAGCAAGCCTAACTGATATAAGGTGTCATTTACACTCATGTGCATGCAGCAATTGCTTAGGATCATGATGGACTTACAGGGATTTGTTAGCAAATCATTCAGATATGTACTCCAATGCTGATGAGTTGCTTCAACGTAACTGCCCCTTTATTAACAAACCATATCCCAAAATGTACACTCAAAATGGGTTGAAGAAGTCTGTGATGGATCTCTAAGGCTTTTCGATATTTGTAGCATATCGAGGGATGTGTTTGTACAATCAAGGGAATGCCTGCAAGAAATACAATCAGCACTAAGGAGAAAGAGTAGCAGCAAGCTTAATATTGCTAATGGATTACATTGTTCAATACTTAAACACCCAAAACAGTTCCAGGAAGATGATCAATAAGTCCTTGAAAAATATCAAGGAAGGTTAGGAAGCAGAGCAAACTACCAAGGACGGTTACTTTAAGAGCATGTTGAAAGATGTGAACTCGATAGCCCTTGATATCTATTAGTCCGTGGTGCTGTCCTACATCGTTGGTTCATACTTGAATACAATGAATTTGATGTTTTTGATGTTACTCTTGACTCGATTATCTGCCAACAGAACATAAATAGTTTAGAGATGATGAAGAACCAGATGATTAAACTGGACTCTGAAATTACAGTTATCGATGAAGCGTTACTCCTTGTTTAGGCATTTAATTAAGTCCTATGACTAGAGCAACACTTCTCAACATCCTAAGCAACTAGAAATAGAAATCGATTTGTACATTTACACAATCTGTGTATAAATTTGCATACACAAATGAGAAGATACATATAATTTCGTGATTTGTCGATTCCTTATCTAGACTCGGTATTTTGTAGAAGCCTTATTCAACTCAGGAATGCACACTAATTAATTGATGACCCTTTAGTAGCATTATTCCTTAGTAATTGTATTAACTGAAATATATTCCCAATTTTCCCACCATTTTCTTATGGCCTATATGATTTAAAATTAGTCACTTAACATCCAATTAAAACATGTCTATTTATAATAAATATGGGATAAATTATGTGCATCTTAAGGGTGTGGTTTCGTGGAATTTGACCAGAACATGTCCTTATAAAGATATGGTTCGATTTGTTTGTTGAATGTGCTAGCTTCATGGATCATGTTGGCAGCTTGTCTGCTCTGTAATTAGCTTTATAATAATATAAATATCAGCCTCACTCGTGCAAATCTTTCTAAGCGCACGAATGGCACTATATCAGACGTTGAAGGTAGTCGGTACAATTAAGGCATGATATTGATTGATCTCCAACAGCTTACATCAATGCAGTTTCCTACATTATATAAATCGATCATGAATATGCAATTTCTTCGTTTAATATGTATGGCTCAATATTATCAAAACCTTAATTATTGCACTCGTGTGAAGTGCGTATTATGGATCATGTTATAGATGAAGTGTATTAAATGTAATTAGGTGTAGAAGCATGGGAATTTTCGATAAAATAATGGGCTGAAGATTAGAAACAGACAAGTTAGGTGGTATAATATGAGGTTGTTGAATGAAGGGTATGCAGGGCACAGTATATTACATCAAATATCTCGGATGTATATATAATGTATCATACTATCATGTATGACCATAGTTTATGTACAAGTTGGCTAGAAACTTGACTAGGAAAGTCGTCGAGACAATAACAAACGTAGTCTAACCGAAAATTAAATAATTATGTTAAGATCTTGATATGATTTGCTGTTGTATTCTGTTACATTGACATATGTATATAAACAAAGACATTCGAGGATGAACTTACAAAATCATTTCTCAAAAAATCATCTACTGATCAGATTCAATTAACAAAAATTGGTATAGTTGTGAAGTCAATGTTCTTCCCCCTTGTCCTTGTTCGTATGAAAGCGTGTGATTTAGACAATATACTCGTACTTAAAAAATAAAAATAAAGTGGTTGGTCATATTGTCTTCTGCTAAACCTTGGCATGGGCAATATTATTTAAACCTTTGGCTGCTTAAAAGTGCTTGAGTTTAGAGCACGGCTGAGCTCCCTGCACTATATATAGTGTGGGAACAAGATAAGTCATAGAAGATATTTCTTGGCATTGATTGATTCGGCGAGCCTGTAAAAGCTAAGCTAAGGAGATTGCTAGCCTAACATTTCCCATAAATAATTTTTTTAAAATTTCATATTTTCTTTCCTCCTATTCTGTCAAATACTTTTGCTTTGTACAATTTTTTATTCTTTCACTTACCCCACAAGCTCCATATATTATTACGTTTACCAATTTCTCCTAAAACTCCCCACATGTAGAAATGGAGAAGGTATTTAAAATCGAAGGGAGTATACGTATAAGGTTTTCAAAAATAATAGCTACGCATTACTTTAATTAAAATTAGTACAAAGTAACATAGAAAATGTTGCTAGTTCAAACAAAC